TTTATTTTTGTATCAGTACATGTAGAATATATGAATCTAGTAAAGACACTAGTAGAACCTTGAGTTAAACAAGAATGGTCCACTTGTGAATTATATTTCATTACAACAAATGCAATTTGCAGGAATCCAAATAATAAATATTTCTGGATACTGGCATTGGCTTTAGAATGCACAATAGTGAAAACAGCTTTTGAGATTAAATCAGTAATCAGTGCCTATCCTATCTCCTATTGCAGAACTATTGTGATCAAATGTTTTGGCTTGACAAAGTACTTGATAAGAGCAATCTTTAGATCTTGAATTTCTTACAAAGCTGATTAATATCAGTTGCTAGAGATTAGAATGTTCTGTATCATATACTTAACTCATTCAGAGGCAGAGCAGCAAAACTGCCATTTAGCTAAATACAGCGAGAGACCCAAATTGCATATTATCAGTAAATGCTTGTTACTGTAACCGTCTAAAAATAATAATTGAAAAAAATGCACCCAAAAGAATATTATAAAATTAAGACACAATTAAGACACAAATAATATATATTTATACATTCTAGTACATAGAATGATCACTTAATTGTTCCTCCCCCCCACCCCCCCCAAAAAAATAAATAAATAAAAATAAAATAAAATAATATTACTTACCATTTCATTATCCTCTCCTTGGTTAAGCAAAGCATACTTTTGAGTCATTTTGTTTTAAGCAATAAGTATCAACTATGCAACAGATTCAGGATAGGAAGGTAACAAGACTTGTTTTCAAACAGGCACATTTGTTTCACCCACAGCCAGCCTTCTCATTCCCTTAATGTTCAGAATGGAACAAAAAGCTGCTTGCTGTTCACATTCAGGTGTGTGAACCCAAACAAGAGTAACTGTATCTTGATTCCTTACCTAAATAGTGCAGTTGTAGACACTCCTCCCACTACTGTAGGCATAGTTTGGATGTTGTAGCCAGCAGTCTAAGTATTGCTGTATATGTTTTTGCAGGTGAGAGATTTTTTTTATCAAGTTTTTTTTCTCTTCATATGTTTGCCTGGAAAATGCTCCCCTATATCATTATTTCCAGATTATACTGATCCCTTATATAAACTACATTCTTTGTAATTCTGCACCAGTTATAAAACATAGCAATACACAAACCCTAGATCAGGGGTAGGCAACCTTTTAGCAGCACTGTGCCGATATAGGATTTTGATGTCCCGTAGCGTGCCGATCCTATTTTTTTAACTTGAGGTATGTATGCTGCCGTATTCTGCTTGTGTTATTTTTACTGTAATTGTTTTGTATCGTTTTATTTGTGTGTATATGAGCTATTATATTGTATATGTTCATTAGTAGTTTATGGTATCGTGTATGATACATATGAATGCGGGCTGTGTATGAGGGCTGCTTGTGGAATTGTGTGTGGATGGATATGTCATATTGTGTGTTTGGTAGTGTTTGGGGTATTGCATGTGAGAGACTGCATGTGGATTTGTGTGCATGTATGTGGATTGTTAGTGGTGTTGCATTTGTGGGGATTGTGTGTAGGATGTTCGTATTATTTGTATGAGGGGAGGATTATTCTGCAGGTCTGTGTATATCTAGCAGTGTGGGTGGCTTCCCTGGGTTCTAGTGGGGACCAGACTGGCCAGGTATAAGCCTTGAGTGCCGTGGAAAGACACCTCGAGTGCCGTGCATGGCACTAGTGCCGTAGGTTGCCTACCCCTGCCCTAGATTGTGGTGTCAGACAATTTTTGACCCAGCATGTCTGACTGACACACACACACAGACACACTCCTTATAATTCTGATCCAGCTATTATCCATTATGGATTGAATGTAGCCAATCAAAACAAAGGCACAAGTATGCTTAAATGCATTAAAAAGAACCATTTTAACCAGTGCCATGCTTGATAATCTGTGCTATTGTGTATGGCTACTGCAATCTAAGATCTAATACACTCATTTTTGTAGGTGTATATCTTTTCTGCTAAGTCTATGTTTGTTATATCCCATTACATATCTAGGATTGCTTTAAGATACACATTTAGAATGTTTAGTGTAACCAAGGTATTATTGGGATGACATGTTTGTCAACTGTTGTGTTACACTTTTTGTGAAGCATTGTGATTGGATCAGGCTACCACTTCTGATGATTTCAGCAGACTACTTGTTTTTTTTTAGGCAAACAGCATGCAGAGTTACAGCTTCTGGCTTGAATACAGTAAAATTTTGCTATATTTATGGAGGCATGAGGGGCCCAGGGGTGCTAGATGGTGGTTTTAACACTATAGGGTCAGATATACATGTTTGTGTTCCTGACCCTATAGTGATCCTTTAAGTACACAAATGATCCTGCAGGGTATAGAAAGCTATTAACAGAGCAGGAGATAAAACATTTAACTAAATAAACTATGCAATAAAGTATAAATTTCAGATCTCAATTTACAGGAAGTGTTTAAGAAGGCTGTGCAAATCACATGCAGTGAGGTGTGACAAGGGCTGCATTAACAAAATTCTTTAACACCAAAATGGCAGAGAATTGAGCAGTGAGACTGCAGGGCCATGATCTATACACCAAAACAACTTTATTAAGCTAAAGTTGTTTTGTTGCTTATAGTGTCTCTTAAAAGTGTTAATTTGTCGAGGATGCCTAGATTTAGATTTTTAATGGGTTTTGAGATGTGCACATCATGTGGTGCTTTATAATTTTAAGCATTCAGATAAAGAGTTCCTTACATAATTATTTCACCATAAGCTGAACCTTATCCACAATATTAACTACTTTTGCACCGAAATGGAGTTCTGTAGACTGGAATTCTTCTAAATTTGGCTCCATCCACCTTGAACTCAGTTGTAACCAGAAAGCATTCGATTGACAGTTCTAATGATCTCAGCCAAGGAGGTGGCCCAATCAGAATTTCCTCACAGAGATGCATTGAGTCATTGCATCTCTATAAGGGAGGTTCAGTGTCTCTGTGCAAAGGGTGACAGCACCAAGGCCCAAGAAGTAGTTTGCAGTCACTGAAGGAAATGGTCCAGGTACCAAACTTGAAATGTTGCTGCTAGACACTGTAGTTCAATAAAATGGTGATCTTTCTTTGGAGTGCCTGGACCTTTTTCTTCAGTGACTTCAATATACTCATCCAAATAACTAAATTAAGCTGTAGTTGTTTTGATGACTATAGTGTTCCTTTAATGTAACTGAAAAACTCTGGGTCTTTCAGATACAAACATATGTATATATTTGAAATAATATTACACTTTAATTGCACTATTTACATGACTTCTTAAAGTAAATGGTTACCCCCAAACCTTTTTAAGTTGTGTCATGGTAAACTGTGTGATTACTGCTACAAATGGTTCTTTTTAATGCAAGCCAATAGGGAATGTATAAACCAAAAGTATTTCATACAGGTTTGTTGTGCAAATAAAAATGTTAAAATCTTGAGACTGAATATAGAACACCAATGCCTTTATTAAAGTATTCATGGGTTTTTATTTTATTGTAATCTGTCTTCCTCTTGCTCATAAATCTATACATTTCACAACAAAATGATCAGCACCATTTATGATTATGAGGACTATTGATAAGTAAATTAAAATGTAGTCTGCTATCCACATAACTGGAATTTCTTTCTTTATATGTAATTATTTATTTATATTTCTTAGTGGATTAAAAATGCTGACCATAGTACACTGTTAACCATCTTGTCTACAATGTTACTGAATTTGTTATTTATCCCAAGGGCCAGCTGGCAAAGGCATTCTGAAGCTTGTAAAGAGACAGGAATACACACAGGAATGAGTCATGCTTTACATAATTGTAACCATCATGAGGCCTAAAATAAATGAACTCTATTTTACAAATATCTCATGCATTTTCTCATCTATTAATCTGGGCTCTTTCAGGAACGTGCAGTGTAGTCCTAAAGCGATTGTTGTTGTTTTTTATTTTTACACTATGGCCTTAGAAGTTCGCTCAAAAAAAACTAATATTTTACTGCAAGATTAAAGTAGCACATATTTAAATTACAATAATTATCATTTCTAACAATTCTCTGCATATTTAACAAAATTATAAAAAAAATCTTCAGCTGATATTCAAACTCCATGCAACAATATTACTTGACTGTTAGCCACCATCTCTCCTAGCCCCTATTAACTTAATATGAGATAACTAAAATTAGATTATATCATGCAATCTAGCAAATTACTATTTTGATGAGGGAAGTTTGCCTTTAAAAGCTAATGAAGTATATACTAGAGAAGTGGTTCCCAACCCAGTCTAGGATTTAGGGAGAACCCAATTGTGTCTAACGTGGTTTTAGAAAAAAAAAAAAAAAAACAATTTAGAAACAGGATAACCCCTAAATCCTGGAGTGGTAGGGGGTACTTGAAGGACTGGGTTGAGAACCCCTGTACTAGAGTGATATGTGCACAAAAGAGTAAAACAAACTTACAAATTTCCATTATGTTCACAAGATGTCCTGTGAATGTGTGTTCAATTATTGTTTAGGATTCAGGTTGGCGGGCCTCTGAAATTATGAATGTGGGTGTGGGAATGTCTTCCTCCTTGTGGCTCATGTTTGGTGTTTTGTATATAGAAACATAGAATGTGACAGCAGATAAGAACTGTTTGCCCCATGTAGTCTGCCCAATTTTCTAAATACATTTATTAGTCCCTGGCCTTGCTTATGCTCCCTCACTGTTTTAACCTCTACCACTTCAGCTAGAAGGCTCTTCCGTGCATCCACTACTTCCTGACATTTTTTTTAAACCTTTGCTCCTTTAATTTAAGATTATATCCTCTTCTTGTGGTATTTTTTCTTCTTTTAAATATAATCTCCTCCTATGCAATGTTGATTCCCTATATGTATTTAAATGTTTCTATCATATCCCCCCTGTCTCGTCTTTCCTCCAAGCTATGCATATTAAGATTCTTTAATAGTGATGTCCCGAACGGTTCGCCGCGGACGGCGAACATATGCGGTAAACTTTGACCCTGTACCTCAGTCAGCAGAAACATTCCAGCCAATCAGCAGCAGACCCTCCCTCCCAGACCCTCCCACCTCCTGGACAGCTCACTAAGAATGCAGCTTCACAATGAATGTAAAATGGATGCTGTCCAGGAGGTGGGAGGGTCTAGGAGGGAGGGTCTGCTGCTGATTGGCTGGAATGTGTCTGCTGACTGTGAGGTACAGGGTCAAAGTTTACCGCATATGTTCGCCATCCGTGGCGAACCGTTCGGCGAACCGTTCGGGACATCACTATTCTTTAACCTTTCCTTGTAAGTTTTATCCTGCAATCCATAAACCAGTTTAGTAGCCCTTCTTTGAGCTATTTCCAAAGTATCAATATCCAGTGCTGCGTACAATACTCCAAGCGAGGTCTCACCAGTGTTCTGTACAATGGCATGAGCACTTCCCTCCTTCTACTACTAATACCTCTCCCTACACAACCAAGCATTTTGCTAGCTCTATTACATTGTCTGCCTACCTTTAAGTTGTCAAAACTAGTTACCTCTAAATCCCTTTCCTCAGAAGTTAAGGTTAGTACCCTATAATATCCTATACTCTGCCCTTGAGTTTTTTGTTTTTTTAAATTCGCCAGATTAGTTATGTTGCCTTTGAGACCGTATGATAGCCCTGGAATTAAAATTACCCCCATGATGGCATACCATTTGCAATAGTAGAAAACCCAAGGTATTGCAAATGGGGTACGTCCAGTCTTTTTTAGTAGCCACTTAGTCACAAACACTGGCCAAAATTGGCGTTCAAATTAGTTTTTTGCATTTTTCACACACAAATATTAGCGCTAACTTTTCCAGTGGCTACTATCAAAGACTGGACATACCCCATTTGCAATACCTTGGCTTGTCTACTATTGCAAATGGTATGCCATCATGGGGGTAATTTTAATTCCTGGGCTACCATAAATCCAATTTTTAAGTCCTACTGGCGGTAAACCTTATCTTGCTGCTAAAGAAGGGTAGGTGCCACCCTCTAGAGGCACCCAACTATCCAGAGTCAGGCTTTATTAGCTCTAAAAAAGGTGAGAAAAACCACAAGTACTGCAAACTTACATCTATATTGGAGGATAATACACCATGAAGTCTCTTTCTTTTTATCTTGTTCCCTGAGGTAATCCATTCCAGCTAAAAGGGTGCAGTGTTACCATACAACACTACTGTGAAAGTGATTTGAGCCTGTCCTCCTGAGGCTCTAATCCATGTGAGTTCGAAACACTTAAGACATTACTTCAATTTAAGATCTTTTGTGGATTTACACCATATTGTGCTTTATTTTTTTTGTTTCCCTGTATGTGTTTCCCTGTATGTATTATATGTACATTCAAGTCTAAGTGTACATGACATATTTTCTATAGAGCGCTCCCCTCATTAGATTAGTATAGTCTGGATATTATATCCAGACTCCACTAAACTTATTTTGGTTCATCACGATATTTAGTGGGGGTAAGAGAAAACCCACTAGAGTGTGTAGCAGCTTTTTTTACTCTACTATATTTGTAAGCACAATCTACACAGTCATTATCCACTTGTGAACCATAAAACCTGTACATAGGGGGTACTATTTTACACATGAGATATCGCTGAATACAAATATGTGCATTTTATTGCAGTAAAAGCAGACAGTATTATGACATTCAGAGTTAGAATGTCACATTGAACTAAAACAAAAATTAAAATTCTTATTTTCTCCTATTTTTTTATATTTTATTCTTATTAAATTATGTTTCATACCTAAATATCGGAGGTTAAATGAAAGCCCTGTTTCCCCTGAATAATATGATATATAAGTGTGGGTGCACATAATATGAAAGAGGCGAATTACGTCTGAACAGACATATAGCGCAAATTCATGTTTTTGTTTACGTTTTGATATGATCACAACGTGTACATTTGGCTTAGTCCTTAAGGGGTTAAATAGATTATTAAAAGGGAAAGAACAAAAAAAAACCCATAAAGTTAAAACACAGCTATTCATGTTAATACAAACTCCCGGTGAAGTGGGAGATGGCATGTGTTTAGCCCCAATGATTCAGCATCATAGAGGAACACAGAAGTGAAATGAAAAGGAGGCTTGGAACGTGCCACACTCCCCGCGAAGGTGGAGATTGCATGAAGACTGAGAAAACAAGGTATACAGACGCTGGGAACACCTGACGAAGTTTGAGGGTGGATGAAACGCGTAGGGTGGAGAGACAAAAATAAGTGCTTATTCTAATTTAATTTCAATTTTATTTTGTGTTCATTTTAAGTTTATTTATTTATTTATTTATTTATTGTTTTCCTGTTTGCCCTTTTCACACAACTGTCTGTTCCTGTCCGTGATGGCCCTGGATTTCCTCCTCTGGATTAAGTACAGTGGCTTATGATGAGCTCCTTGATTACTTTATTTTGTGAGTGCAATATAATAAAGTGTTATTTTACTGATTACAGTGCTGCACTATGTTTTTGTTTCTCCTTTTATTATAATTGATCTTGTAGTTATCTATGACAATTTATTAAAAAGACCTAAGGGTTATAAAAGAATTTCTGGTAAAAGTTTTTTTTTTTCTTTATAATTATTTCATGCAATAACCTTCTGCTATTTATATTTATTTCATATTATTAATAGACTTTCTTGTTATGGACTCCTTGTTCCGATTCTGTCACCATGGGAATGTGGATGCAAGGCAGTAATACATATGGCAGTTGAACTGCAATCTATCAGAGAACCGATGATGTATAGGAAGAAATCCAGGAAGTGATGCAATGGAATTGAAGCAGATGCGACAGCTGCGTCATAGAGAAACATGGAAGTAAAATGAAATGGAGGCTTGGAACGCGACACATTCCCGATGAAGTGAGAGATTGTGTGTGTTTGGCCGCAATGATTCAGCTTCACAGAGGAACACAGAAGCGGAAAGAAAAGGAGGCTTGGAACGTGCTGTATTCCTGGTGAAGTGGGAGATTTTGTGTATTTGGCACCAATTATCCCCCTATAAAGGGGGTGTGACAAAACCCCTGTTTTATGCATACCAGGACCCTTGGTTTCGTATGCTATTTGTGGATTTGGCACTATTCCATTCCTTTTATATAAAAAACTGAACAAACTACCGAACAGGCAGACCCCACACAATGGGAGTGTGCCGCTTATTAACCTCCCAGAAGCTGTGGTTAACTACAAATATTTGACGAATGGCTGGGTGGTCGCCATTCGTATAAACGAACATGTGGTGGCAGCCATTTTAAACTGACGTACTCCCAGCTGTGTTTGGTCTTCGACCGCGTTGGACTATTTTCGGCCACAATTTCCCACGAACACCGCTGGGACTACCCAACTTCCATCTTTTCGTCTCCGTTTACCCGAATGCCTGTCCTGATGTGCCTGACCCCTGAGTGCCTGATGAGAAGTGGGAGTGTTCAGCGTTGTAATGGACTATCAGGGCCTGGTGCAGGGTAACCACACGCCCCCTGGTGTTGAGCACCAGCATTTGCACGGCCACGTACCAGGACCCTGATGCCAGGAAGTAGGAGCTAGAATTAAGCAGACCTCTCAGGAGCTGAATAGGGGGACTCTGCAGCAGACATGTATCCAGTACAGAAACAAGGCAAGTCTAGAACAGGCACCAAATATGAAAACAAGACAGAACTAGTAGAAACCAGAACCAGAGAAGGATAGGAAGCTAAACCCAGAACATGTACACAATACATAAGGGAACATTAAATTAACAGGGGCAGGACAGGACTGTACATGGACTGGGAACACAAACTAAAACAAGACAAGATATGAGGCAAAACAAGAGGAGACATAACTAAGCACTATGTATGAAAAGTATGGGGATTTAGTTACATTATATGATCATACAGTGCATAAGCCTGCCACAACGCCAATGTACCCCATATTCGGCAGGTCCTACACTGCCTAATGTTCACTGAAAGAACCATACTAAACCACAATAGCACTTACCTGCAAGAAAGGGCAGATACTTGAAACACTGCTGCAGGTCCAGACTGAAACAAAAGGAAAATGGAAAACAAACGGGTGTGGCAACATAAAACAAACATTTAAAGGAAACCTGGACACTGGGAATTCCAGGGACGGAATAATGGAATGAACCCAGAAAACCCAGCATAAGGAAAACCAGACATGGAATAGAAAACCAAAAAAAACAAGAAAAACTAAACAAGAATTGTAAAAAGAGTACTGGATACCAGAAACCAAAGCCAGACATCTCTGCAGAACATGGCATGATGTGAAAACGCCGTGCCATTCGTTACATTCAGAACACACGAATGGGACCAACCCAGATAGCTAAATCCATGAGGCTAATTCTGGGCATATTTCTAACGAACAGTCGGTGAACAGACTCTTTAGCTTCATGGTGATTTGACTGTGTTTATGGGATCTGAGTGCTGTTCATCTATATTTAGCGCTCATATCCAAGCTATATGGGGATATGTCGAATGTGGTGGTTCCGTTTGGTAAGATAAAAGTTATGTATTTTAATGTATTTTGTTACATTTGTAAAATGGAAACATTTTCTCTGCCTGGAGATAATTAAGTTTACTCCGGCCACTTAACCCAATTATCTCCAGGATAGAGAGGAGGGATTTCACTGTTTATGTGGGTTTGTTTTATATTGTACTGTAAAATGATTGGTTACTGTAACTTGTGTTTCAGTCCTCCACAAGGTCCCTGTGGGAGTATTCCTTGCTGGAGGACCTGCATAAAAGGCCAAGTTGTGGCCACCATTAAACAGATTGTTTTACCCCTTCATGAAGTCTTGGCTCATGTTTGGGGGATTGGGAGTTATAATTCACTACACCTTCTGTTCTACTTGGATTTTGGGAGATGCTGCACGGATATACTCAGCTGTAGTGTAAGATATCTGTTCCAGGAGGTATATAAACAGGATCCTCAGCATAGGATATATATACTTA